ATACATCTCTAGATCTCTGCATCTTACATTTTTATTATAAATAGTATGTTATCACCAGTGAATTGATATTCTAAATATTAGTAACAATAAGATATAGCAAAACTGTGAAAATGAATTGTAGGAAAAAAGATAAAAAACCCATTTAGTTCCAAAATATGGTGCCAAATTTTGTCAATGACTATGTTCCTCACTATCTCATTGCCAGTCTAACAGAACATTTCTAATGTAGCCTAAACATAGGTTTTCTGAACAGTCACATTAATTACCTTTATTTATTTATTTATTTATTTACTTATTTATTTTATTATAATTATTTGTATTAACATAGTGCTTACAAGTCCCAGTCATGGATCAGATCCCTATTACATTAGGTGCTGGACAAACAGAACGAAAAGATGGTCCAGTGCTTAGAAACCTTACCATCTAAGGATGCTCATTACCCTGATATCAAAACATCTTCATACTGAGATATCATTTCTAGAAGTAGCATTTCCAGAAGTCCACAATCCTAGAAATAAGGTAACTCCATTCAAAAACAGAAAAAAGTCATAGAATCGCCAAGATGTGCATACACCTGAAGTGAGTCACTGACACTTTGTACACCCTTGCCTTCCTGCACCCCTTCCCTTCTACATTATACTGTTTGCCATTGTTATATCTTTCATTTTAATTGCAAGTTCTTTTGATCAGGGACTGTCCTTTCTGTATCTTCTCTTATATGCAACTAAAAGTTGCCATAAAATAATAAATGTGACTCTAGCATTCAACATTTGCTCTGCATTATCATTCCAAGAAGTTGCACTTTTAAAAGTATGGATCCAGGAAATGGCACACAGAAATACTGTGTGCGCCATGCTGTTCAGATGGGTAAGGACACATCAAAATACGTTTAAAAGCACCTTTCATAACTTTGTGTTCACAAGTTCTATTATTTCCTATTGTAGATATTGTGGAGCTATTTTTTTTTTTTTTTTGCTTGTGGCAAGGTGGGTGAGGTAATGTCCTTTATGGACCAACTTCTGTTGGTGAGAGAGACAAGCTTTTAATCTTACACCAAGCTCTTAAAAAAATGTCAGTCTTCCAATCATGGAACTAAAACAATTACCAGTGTCACTAGTGATGAACAGATGACATGTAATGAACAGTGAATAGTTTATTTGTTTGCATAAACTATTCAGCAAGCACTTGCAAATAATGAATACCGGGGCTGAAATCTGGCTCATTACAAATTTGTAAATGTAAGGCTAAGTTCATCCAATAACTCATTCACCAGGAATAATTTGATCAGCACTAGTCAAAAGCTTCAAGAAAGTTTTCCATTAGTTTTCACTGTTTGCCTTTTTGTATAGCATATGTATACACTGCAAACACAGAGAGAGAGAATCAAAATATGCCGCTCAGCATAATTCTGCCCTCAAGTGAATATGTATAATTTCAGGGAGGCTAATAGGGTTAAGTAATGGCAAACTTTAGCCTCTTGGTTTCATTCATGAATTGCTGAAAAACGAATATGTTACTACTATGCAGGAGTGAGATGACACACCTGGTATATCACTTGTATGATTATTTCCACCGTGTAGGTAGTTTTCCTGACTTGATTCAGGCTGTGTTGACCTCCAATGCTGCTACTGTACAGCTAAGGTTCAATTATTTCGATTATAAACATTTGCAGTGGATTGGAAGCCGTTGTTGTGAAGCTTATAAAAAGGTCTGTTTGGTTACATTATATTTTTCCCCGCAAATCAATTGATGTAAATCATATGACTCTTTCACAGAGTGACCCAAAATAAAAGTACATTTTTCTCTAAGGTATCTGTCTTTGTTGTCGTTACATGCTAGCTACAAAGCATCTTAATTTCATGAAATGTTTTTTGTTTTTTGGGGGGCTATTGCTTTATAATTTCTTGAAAATGTCTTGGGTATGTAGATTTCATCAGTCACATGTTTAAGATGTGAGCTGGTGATGGAAAACTAGTGCCATGGTGAAGGTCTCAGAACAGGTAAAAATGTGAAATTGCCAAGATGACTGCAGTTATGGTACTTTTAAAAGTATGAGATTAGAAAGGGTATCCTAGCCGCTATGCTTTCCAAAAGATATAGAAGAATGTTAAAGCTAGATTTATTTCACAGCACATAAAATAAAAGACTAGGTAACTCACACACAAAATATTACCGGTTTAGAATCTGAATGTACAAACCCTTACTTAACCCCTTTGAAATCAGTTGGGCTGCCTGGGTGCATAAGGATTAGTTGCATGAAGAAAGGGTTGTGAGTTAAAGCCCCTGTATTGTGTGAGCTGCTGAGCACTCTTGGCTCCCAGTAATAAGTTAGTCTTGATGGGCCTGATCCTAGAAGATACTATTAGAATTTGGCCTAAAGCACAAAAGAGGAAATTTTAAGTGCAACCTTTTACAATATCGTTATGGACCTGATTCAGCAAAGCACCAAAGTCAATGGCAGTTAAGCATTTACTTGACATTAAACATTTGATTAAGTGCAGATCAAAGATAGAATTATTCACGTTCTTAAAGCTAAACTTGTGCTTAACTGCTTTGCTAAATCAGGACATCAATTAACTCCATTGTACTAATCAGCTTGTAGCATAAAGTCTAAGAACTTCATGACCAGTTATACTTACCTTACTTTGCTTTGTTACTAGTGAGGAGTAGAGATAGTTTGAAACCACAAATTTCAAATATTTTAGAATCTTAAATCAGACCAGGTTTGGGAATCTTTTGTCAAACTTATTCTGAGTTTTGTAATGAAGCCAAGTGAGTCACGCTTGCTATTATGTTTGCATGTATTTTGAACAGCTGTAATAATAATAATAGTTTCTTAGTCAGCTTTACATTCTAAAATGTGAACAATGAAGGAAAATGAATTGGGTTATGGCAGATCTCATCTACTGGAAAAAATATATTCTATGTCATTTGAAATGGTCAGATGTTATGCATTCAAAATCAAAAATAATAATTTGACTGGACAAGAGACTCACCTTCAAACTGGGTAGGAAATAGTTTTCGCATCCCACAAAAATTTTCAAATTTTAATGATTTTTCCCTTCTTGAATACAGATCGTCAAAATTTTGAAAATTTTCATGAACCACAAATTCAATAATTTTTTTTAAGTGAGGTCGTTTCAATGGTTTCATTTTGATGATTTTCAAAATGTTTCATTTTTGTTTCCAACAATTTTTTAAAAGACTTCACATGGCTTAAATTTCAAAGTTGTTTCAAATTGGAAAAGTGGAATTATTTATTTCAAAAATGTCCTATTTTGACCATTTCAAAACATTTATTTTTTCAGAAAATTTTAAGTCAAGAAATTCACTGAAACTGACCTATTTCCTTGGAAGGTTTCAGTTTCAATGGATCAGCATTTTTGATGAAAAATGTCTCATCAAAATATTCCCAACTAGCTCTAATCACCCCACATGTTCCCTGTTTTGCCATCTCAGATCAGTGTGTTGTTTTATAGAGATATCACATATACCTAGCAATATCCAGCATGAGCTAAGAGTGCTATAACAGCCTGAAATCAACATTTGTTTGCTTTTTGGGGGGCTTCGGTGTTTACGGTGTTTTAATCAATTTTTGTACATGTGTTATTTCTATAGAAGACTTATAGAAATGCTCTTTATATATATATCTCATGGCCTTTTGGACAGCTAGGAAAAACATCTGAACAATTTACTCATGGAAAAAATATATAATAAAATATGTAATACTGATGAAATGGCAAAAAAATTCAGCACTCTTGCAAACACTTCAATCACTTGAAGTTCTTTCTCCCAGTCAAGCTCTAAAAGCACTTTCCATCAAAGCCCAAAGAAACATATATACAATTTTAGACCTTTATATGACCTCTTTTTTCTGAAGGGTTATGCCTTAAACCTCTGGGTCCTTCTAGCTTTCTTTTTGCCTGTTAGAACTTTCCCTTTAAGTTGTCCTTCTACCCCCGCAAAGCTCAAAAAGGGGAGAGTACCTGTTTCTCTGCCTTCGCATAAGCTATCTCCTACCCTGCCGGGAGCCAACATAGAAGTCTTTTAGCTGACCTTGACTTCAAATACAAAAGACAAAAGGAAATGGATGAAACTAACTGAAGCAAGAGTAAGAATTGTACTAGACAGGTAAGGAGAGAGTGAAAGAAAAAGTCCACAATGATTGAATAGTGGTGGAAGCTATAACTTACAGTAAAATGCACAACGTAAAAAGCATTTTAATCTATCTATGCAACCCACCCAAGAATAAGTATTTCCCTGGAATCTTATTATGTCTTATAATATATGGCACACAAGCAAATGCATTACAAACTTCAGATATGACAGAATCAAGTTATTACTTTTCTTACTGTTCTCTACAGAAAACCAGCATAACTTGATGAATTTTAGTTGGACTACAATTTTTATTTTCCTTTTAAGAAAATCAAGGAAAAGTTAATGCAGTCTTGTTGTAGCCACGTTAGTCCCAGGATATTTGAGAGACAAGGTGAGTGAGATAATATCTTTTATTAGACCAACTTCTGTTGGTGAGAGAGACAAGCTTTCAAGCTTACACGGAGCTCTTTTTTAAAACAAAGGAATAATGAATAACAAACACGGAGCAGTGAATACTCTTGTGCATAAATGCACTTGTCTGCATGCCACCGTGAGTATTTATATAAAGAACAGGCATTTCCCAAACATTAATATAAACAAAGATCCTGTTCGTACTAGAAGCAAATAAGAAACATGAAGATGGTGAAATCAAACAGTGGTTCAACATTCAAATACATGATCACCATCACTACAGCTGATTGAAAGCGTATGTAACTAAGCAACACAGAGCAAACTGAAAATGTTCACAACAACGTGCCTGTAAATGAATTATTCACCAAAGAAATCAAATAATTTGAACAGGAAAAACAAAGAAAAAAACCCAAACCTCATCAAATTGTGCATTATAAATTATTTGCTCATCTCTACTGACTTTTCTGGCCAACTTTCTTTTCTTTCAACAGATTCAAAGGTCAAACTTTGTGCGCCAAGCCTTGGCGAAAAGGATTGTTACTGATGTCTAAAATGTGAGTAAGTTGGCTGTATTGAGGGGGCTGCATATGAACCATGTTTGCCTGGCTGTGGCATGCAAATTTGGCCTATAGTATTCTTGTTGCTTGTATGATGAGAAAAGTTACTAATGTGCTGTGAATCTCAGTACTTCTGGCTAAAAATTGCTCTTCACTGCAGGCACATAAAACTTATTTATTTTAAGTGATGGGGAAAATTGCAGTTTATTGCTGTAAGTGAAGAAAGATACACCTTGTAAAACTACAGAGTAGTGATCGTTGGTGAAGTAAAGTCCATCTTTGAATTTACTGGGTAATTTATTAGTTAGTTTGAATCACTTAATTTTTAAAAGTGTATTGGTAACATTAATGTTGAAGCTGTTGCTTTTCAAGTTGATGCCATTCTAAAAGGAAAGGTTTTCAAAGATGTTCATGCTGGAAGCCACTCACTTAGACCTAAATGCTCTGACATCCTCTACTGTGCAGAAGGGAGTATGTAAAGGAGCACACCAGCTTCCACATAAGGCAGGAAGGGGTTAGTGGGCTACTGAAGACCCAATTACCCCCACATTAAGATACCTTAGGCAGGAAGCAGGCATCTAGGAAAGGTCTTAAAAAGAAGAGTGCTGATCAGTTGGAGAGGTAGCAGGCAAAGAATAGAGGTCTACCATGGGAGAGAAGGCTAGCTAGGTCCAGGGATTGGGAAAGACCGGTGCCTAGCACATCTCTCAGAGGAAAGGGAAGAGTTTATGTTAGTGACGCTTCAGACTTGTCGAGTCCCAGGAGAAGAAATGTAAGTGAACTAGCTGAAGGACTAAGACTGTACAACCCAGAAGGTGGCATTGAAAGGTGGGCAGAGCAGTTGAAGACCAGCTGGGCAACTGAAGCTGATTGGTGGTTGCCCCACACAGTACTGGACAGGGGCACTCTGGGAAGCACCTACTGTAACAAAGCCCAAAGAGGAGACACCATAGAGAGCAGAGCACTCATGGCTCTTCTAAGCTAATCCTCCTTTGTAAACATGAACTGGATTCTTCACCCTTCTCCCATACTGGAGAGTCTAAGGAGAGAATTACGAAAGGCATGGGGCTCCCATTCTATGGTGATAGCTGGGATGCTCCCATATCGTAAGAGGCTGTATGGTCTCTTTATGACTAAGTTGTTCAGTAAAATGTTCCTGTGCCAAGGACTGTGATTATCTCCCTGATAACAGACAGGTGGCTGGATCTGAACCTGATCTAGATTCCATCTCCTGCTTCGTTCCCCAAATCCCCTCCTGCTTCCTCACTGTCTTTCTGCCTCCTTAATTGGACTCCTAAATTCCCTACTGGCACCTGCTACCATCTCCCTCAAAAATTGTCCATAATCCCACTTCTCCTGCCAAATTCTAAAATGCCCTCTGCTATCCACTAAAGTGATGGCCAGGCCATCTCTCCCCACCCTGGTCCTAAAATCCTTGGATATGTATACACTTGGAGCTAGAGGTGCGATTCCCAGCCTGAGGAGATATACTTGCTCACAGTCATTGAGCTAGCATGCTAAAATTAGCAGCATAGTTTCAGTAGCTCAGGCAGGGGTGAGTAGGAGGAGGGATTAGCTTCCCTGCAAACCTGTCCAGTACTGTTCCCTCACGCACACAGATCCTAAACCCCGCGCATGTGGTGAAACACCGCGCGCACAAAAATTTGCACGGAAGCACAACAATTTGCACGGAAGAAATTTTTTGAGCACGCAGCCTGTCAAAAATTAGAGGGAACATTGTTTTCCAGACCATGTGGGTATGTACTTGGGTGGCTAGCCTGAGCTGCTGCTCATGCTACCATGGCTATACTACTATTTTTAGCATACTAGCTCAATGAGGCCTAGTTCCAAATTCAGACATACCGCTTCAATATTCCGACTTTCTGAACTGCTGGCTAACTCTCCTGCTAATGCCTCCAGCTCCCGTTCCTCGTCCCTGTTGTAGCTCTGCACTCTTTCTCTTGCCTAACTAACAATCCCCCTGCAGTGCACTCTTATTGGTCTAGAGTTGAAGGAAAGCTTTTTGGGGGTATGGCTGCAGGTTCTGTTCATTGCTTCCATGCAGGTGTATGTGGAGACAATGCTGTCCAAACTCATCTTCATGGGGAGAGATCTTGGTCCTTAGGAGCATTTTCCCATTACTGAAAACTTTGCACATCATGTGAGGGAAGAATTTCTATAGCTGGGTTACAGAGGTATGCAATCGCACAGATGAAATGGGCCACTGACAGCCTAATTTGATGTGCAGTTACAATAATTATGCAATTATATGCACAATAGTGGGAACTGTGTGCACAAATCAGAGGAGAAGTTAGACACCTCGAGTCTTTATAAATCTGGCCCAATGTTCATTTTGCACAGAATGATTTTCTTTTGAAATGTGGCCTTATTTCAATAAAGTGTCAGTGTTGGACAAAAGAACTAAATATCATTCATTTTGTGGCTAAATTTGTTGTAAAATTAATGCATTGTATTTTTGCTATATGTAAAGGTCAGTTATTGTCCTTTCCTTTCTCCTACTCCCTAGCAATTCTTTTGAACAGTGAAACTCTTTTTGTCATCCTGAAGTGCTTTGCTTGCCTTCTAGACATTTATGTAAATAGCACTGAAACTCATTACATTTGAATGAATAATGACCCAATTTATGTTAATTTATGTTTCCCAAAGTGTCTTGCTGGGATATTTGGGCCAGATACTCCGCTGGTGTAAACTGATGGAACTGTGCTGAAGTCCAGGGAGCTAAGTTGATTCATATGAGCTGAGGATCTGGCTCTCTGTTTTTATTTGTGCATGCGAGTTACAATAGACTGGCAAAACTATTTTAAGCTCATTTGGCAAGATGTTAAAATCCATGGAAAGTAAAGATATGAAAGTCTTCTCACTGAGTCTCCTAGTCCAGTCTCTTTTAAAACAGGAATGTTTGCTACAGTAAGCAGTTTTCTAGTGCTGTCCAGTAATGTCTGAACTATTCTAAATGACAGGGTTTTCCACTACTTCCTCTCAGAGACTATTCCACATTCTAATACATTTCACTGTCAGAAAGATATATTCCCATCGCTTTTAGTTGTGCCCCCCTTGGGTTACTCTACACAAATTCTTCTCTCCCTCCTTTTCCCCTTCAAATATATACGTATGGGTCATGCACTCTCTTAGTCATCACTTAGCTAAACAAAGTCATCCAGTCTCTTTGGCGTTTCTCTGAAATTTTGATTGTAGCGATAGAAAATGTGGTGTGAGGGTGTTTTTGGTTTTGGTGGGCTTTTTTTTGCAGATTTATATTACCTTAAACATATGGAGCTAATATTTGTGTTGATTCACACCTCACACAATCTCATTCAGTTCAGTGTGATTATGCAAGGTTAATAGTGCAAAAATTTGACCCATTGTGCTTTGGTTTTATTTGGGTGGTGGTTTTGTAACTTTACATCGTATCCAGCTGATATATAAATTGAATGTGGCTAGCATTGCAGCATAAACCTTGGAAATACACATTTTCTGACTGTCCACCAAATTGATTTGTCTGAGAATAAAGTTAGTCTGCAGTAAAAAGTAAAAAATATTAATAATAAACTTCTATATAGCTGAGAGTTGTGGAGCTGTGGGGGAGAATAGATAACCAATGTATAAGGTTTCAGAGTAGCAGCCGTGTTAGTCTGTATTCGCAAAAAGAAAAGGAGTACTTGTGGCACCTTAGAGACTAACCAATTTATTTGAGCATAAGCTTTCATGAGCTACAGCTCACTTCATCGGATGCATATAAGGGATGCCAATAAAACAGCTGTTTTCCACATGTATGGTTTACTTTTACTGTAGTGTTCCCTATACTTAGAATGGGAAAATCTACAAGTTTTGCATTGTTTTACTGATCTGGGTGGGACAAAAAACAATTGTTAATGGTGTCCAGTCGAAATATACTTCCCATATCCCATGTATTGCAACTTGGTTCTACTTTGGGGCCTGACCCAAAGTTGACTGAATAGGACCCTTTCAGTTCACTTCAGTGGATTTTGGATAAGGTGCTTTGTCACATTACCTTTCTTCCTAGGTATTGTGGGAAATGATATCCTAAATATGAGCCTTGAGAATATTGTACACTGATTTCTTTTTTATTTGTGTTTGATTTGAGAAATGACAATTCATGCCTGATTCTGTTGTAATTGCTTTCAGGTAACATTGCTTTCCCCTAATTGAAACAGAAGTTTCATTCCTTGACTATATTAAAGCGTAAGTGACCCACTGTAAACTTTTCTTGTTTTCACATTCTTATTATAATTCTCTAATAAATTGTTTTTATTTTTGTTAAGTGATTACTGTAAATACTCTTAAGAATTGCAGTTGAGCTTACTAGCTTTATTATAGTCCTAGAACTGGAGCAACCCCAGTGTAGCTCCATTGTGAGGGAGGCAAGCATTTCTTGGACCTAATCATTTTGGATTGTCACAAGAAGGCCTAAACTTCACTTTTGTGGAACTCTCCTGATCCTAGTTCCTGGATATGAATTGAAAAGGCATTTGAGGGAGCAAGTTGTGGGCCACCTTCCGGTGTTGCTGAGGAGGGAGTGTTCTGTTGAAAGCATCCCACTATCCTAGAGCACAGGGGTGATGGAAAAATTGTTTTATAGTGGGGGATGCTGAAAGCGGAAACAATGTATTTGGTTGTTATTTCTACTTCAAGCTGGGGGGTGGGGAGTGGCGGGGTCCTGCCACACCCCCAGCACTCCTGCCTGGCTGTGGGAGAAGAGCCTTTGGTCCCTTTCTTCTGACTATGACTGCTGACTACTTTTTCAGATATGCAGCAGTTTTAATATTCTTCCTCTGTAAATGGCTGGGAGAAATATCAGGGAAGCACTCTACTGAGCATTCAAAATCTTCATTTGTAACATAGCAGAGACAGCAAAAATGCTGCCACATTTCTGGGCATTTACTGGTGCCCTATTTCCCTTCCTACATGCACATTTGATAGCATTGGAAGCAGCCCAGCAGGTCTGGTACCCTTTT